CAACATGGATCGCACCGCACAGGTTGCGCAACATAGACCGCACCGCAAATAATGCACCACCTGCAGCACACCACATTTGTTGCTACACAAAGATTCCGTAACACGCGAGATTGCGCGCGCCAGCGCGCGCCGCAGAGATGCACCAGCCACGGCCAAGCAGTAATCGCAATCGCCACCGCATGGGTTTCGCAAACCAAATTGCAGGTGGGAGGATGAGACAACTGCACGAGCAGTGGGGCTAACATAGGTGGCAGTTGTTGACTATCATTGTGTCCTCCTCTGCCCCCTCTTTGAGCATCTCTGGCACGATGGAGTACCCTCCCAATCATTCGGGCGGCTGGCAGCTGTCCCACGACGGGAACTTCTGCCCCGAACCTCCTCGAACCCCAACGGGGACCCATGGCAGAACGCAGCAGGGATGTAAAGCTCCAAGAACGCGACAAGGTGCCAAGGCACCTGTCGGGCTGGGCGAAAGGGTAGGATAGCAAAGGGGGGGGGTGAGAATCAGCTCACGTGGCTGACTTTCCCGGCGCCTCCTGGCGGCGGAGGCGGCAATGCATCGAGGAAAGGGCCCGGCGGCGGGGCCGAAACCGGCTGCATGCAGCAGATTTCGTAACTCCCCCTATCCCTATTCCCCCCTTTCGTCCGGCCCGAACCTGGGACCGCGAAAGCAGAACACGGGCACACACTGGCCGGTTTACCCCCCTAGATGGGGATCTAGGTCGTTCCCCTCGGGTTTCGAGGGGTGTATCCCCAACTGGGGGGGGTTAATGTGGTGGGGGTCTCGAAGGGGATGGGCATGGGGACGGGGGTCGGATGAACGATACTGAGCCTGGGACCGCGAACGCAGAGCAAACACATGCACACAGGACACCCAGGATCGGGGGATGCACGGGCCCCTGCCTGCCGAGGCCCCTGCTGGACGCCCGCCCTGACCGCAGGCCCCCCGCGGGGGCGGCGCTCCCCGCGGCCTTCTTCCCGCCCTCGGACAGGAGCGTCAGCCGCAGCCCGCTCCGCTTGCTGACCCTGCCTATGAGGTCCTGCGGGCCCGCGCGGGAGAGCGACGACGACGTCCACGCCGACGACGACCCGGACACCCTCGCGTCGCGACTCATCATTTCCCTCCCCTCACCCCTACATCGCCTTCTCCTCCCTCCTTCATCTCCATTCATCTCCTTTCATCATCATCGTCGTCATCACCATCGTCACCAACCACCACCAGCATCATCATGTCCCCTTCCCCCTGCTCCCCACTTCCTCCTCTTCCTCTTCCTCATCCTCCTCAGCCTCCTCCTCCTCCTCCTCCTTCCCATTTCCTCCTGCAAGCTGCCTTGAGAGCCGTCCGCCCGCAAGTGCGTCAGATCCCGCATTAATAGCCAGCCGCCCGACGCACCGAGTACCCCTACGCTCTGAACGAAAAGGTGATTACGATGGAGCCGGAAGCGGCCTGGGGCACCACGGCCCGCAACCGGCTCCGACTACGGATAATGCGCGCACAAGATAGCACAATATGGGGGCAGGTCCAGTCGGGGCGTTGACCTAAGGAACCCAAAATGAGGAACGGGGCCCTTTCTCCCATAAGTTGAACCTCGATTTCCCGTGGAAAACCTCAGGGAAACAGAAGGCAAACTGTAGAACAATCAAGGAACACCGAGCCCCTCCCCAACGAAAAGCGTTCCTTCTTCAGGGCCCCGACTGTACACCACGCGAAATGGTTAAGAAATCATGGGTTAAGAAATTCATGGTCTCAGAACTTGAATCAAAAACCCACAATTTCTATCAAAATCTTAGGATTTACATTGAAACGTTAAGAATAATCGAGACTCTGGCCGAAAACTTAAGTTTTCTTAAGCATCGCCTAAGGTGTAGCCCCGATGAAACGAAGGCCCCGTCACCCAGAGAGAAAGTGGATAGCACGAATCAGCAAATCGTGAGCCTGTCCACGCGCCAGCCCCGCCACTCCCACCTCCTTGCAGTCCCACCTCCTTGCAGTCCTCCTCCTCCTCCTCCTCCTCCTCCTCCTCCTCCTCCTCCTCCTCCTCCACCCCCTCCTCACCTCCTCCTCCTCCTCCTCCTCCTCCTCCTCCTCCTCCTCCTCCTCCTCCTCCTCCTCCTCCTCATCCTCATCCTCATCCTCATCCTCATCCTCATCCTCATCCTCCTCTTCCTCCTCCCGCGGTCCGAAACTCTGTAAATTGGTGCCGGCGCAATCCTCCAGTGTGCGGCGCTGGCCTCCGAGAAGCAGCCCCTGCCTACTGCTTGGCCGCAGTGCCTCGCCCTTCTCCTCCTCCTCCTCCTCCTCCTCCTCCTCCTCCTTCTTCTCATCCTCCTTCTGCCTCTGCTCCTCCTCCCTCCTCCTCCTCCTCCTCTCCCTCCTCGTCCTCGTCCTCGTCCTTCTCCTCCTCCTCCCTCCCTCCCTCCCTCCCTCCCTCTCTCCCTCCCTACTCCTCGGCGCGCCCCGAGGAGCTGGGACGGCAAAGCCCAACAGCGACGACGCCTGGCACGGCAGGTGCCGCCGTGCCCCGGGCAGCGGCCGTCTTTAGTGCAGACGGCGCCCGCCTCCGAGAAGGCAGGCGCTCTCCTCTCTGAGGCCGCCGCCACGGCCCTGCCCAAGGCGACCGGGCGGGAGTTGCTGGCGGCCATCGTGCTCGCTCTGCTCGTGCAGCCTCCTCCCACCTCCTCACTCCTGACTCCTAAGTCCTCCCCCATTCAGAGCCCCCTCCTCCTCCTCCTCCTCCTTCTCCTCCTCCTCCCTGTCGCACCCCGAACCGTGTCGGTAGGGCGGGCTGGGCGTTTCGCCTGAGGCTTCCTCACCGTCATGATCCTGAAGTTTGAGATTCGCCTGAGTTTCACGGATGGAGGTCGAGTCATTTTCAATACGCGGCTCTCGCATTAGCTCCGCGCACACTCGTCTTCAAAGTTTGCAGCAGCTTCTCGGACGGAGGGCGGCTCCTTTTCAAAATGTGGTTCTCGCCTCGGCTGCGCGCATATTCGTGCGCACACTCGTCTTAAGAATTTGCCAGAGTTGTACGGTTTCTCATGGCTGATGTCGCAGAAATTAAAAGTTGGCACGATGTACGACTGTCAGGGCGCAATAATCACATTGATGCGCTGTGTTGCAGTCCCGGGAATAGTTTTTTGTGGCCCGACTCGACACCATCTGGGCGCAACGATAACGTTGATTCGCGGCATTGGAAAACCAAGAATGGTGTTTTGGCGCAGTTCAGGGTTTTCACACCGTTGTCTTCCAACGAGGCACTTCCCTCAACGAAAATAAAACCAGTAGCGGCCTATGCATAGAGAACTTGGAGGGAGGGTTTATTGCAACATCGCTGATGAGTCGTGGGCCATCATCATCAGCTTCGCCATTACCATCGTCATCAGCATCGTCATCAGCACCAGCATCAGCAGAATCATCATCATCATCATCATCATCATCATCATCATCATCATCATCATCATCATCATCATCATCATCGTCACCATCGTCATCGTCACCATCGCCATCGTCATCGCCATCGTCAACGAAATCATCATTCTCCTTGCCCTCCTTCCTCATTCCCGCTGCCAACTCCTTCCCCTGCTCCTCCACGTCCACCTCCTCATCGTCTTCTTCCCGCGCACGCGGCGGGAAGGGGAGACAGGAGGGAGGACGAGCAGGAGGAGGATGAGAAAAAGAAACCTACACTTGGGAGTGCGATGTGGGACCTCGCCCATGAAATATCGTAAACGAATCTACCCTTTCTCCGACCCTGTCCCGCGCCGAACGCAACGGCCGCGCAGTCTGTAGACGTATCCACCCAATGTGTCCATAGACGACTGTGACTAGAAAGTGAGAGCGGTATTTGGCAGAGTCCCGAGATATGAGAGAGCGCGATTCACGAGCGCTTGCCTTGGGAACAATCGACGCGGTCGAACAAAACCAGGAGGACTCCCCTCCCCCATCCACCCCCCCCTCCCCGATCACCCCCCCCCCACCCCGACGCAGGCGCGCCGGCGGCGGCGGCGGCGGTTGGCAGCGCCGACGGCGGCGACGCGGCGACGATGACCAGGACGAAGACGACGACACCGACAAGGTCCCTTGTAGTTACTGAATGTCGGGACACTGTCGGGTCCGGACCTCAAATGTCAGTAATATTCGAGTTGCGTCGCGCGAACCTCCCGCGGTTTCCGTCATCGTCGTCGTCGCTGTCGCCGTCGTCGGCGTCATCCTCCTCGTCGTCGTCGTTGCCGACATCTTCGACGTCGTCGTCGTAGCCGTTGTCGTCATGCTTGCAGTCGTCGTAATCGTCGTCGTGGCCGTCGTCGTCGTCATCACCGGCGTCGCCGTAGTCGTGGTCGTCGTCGTCATCGTCGCCGTCGTCGCCGTCGTCGTCGTAGTCGACGTCGTCAAGCTCGACGTCATCTTGGTCACCGTCGCCATCGTCGTCGTCGCCATCGTCGTCGTCGTCGTGATCGTGGTCGTCGTCGTCGTCGCCGTCGTCGTCGTCGTCGTCGTCGCCGTCGTCGTCGCCGCCGCCGTCGTCGTCGTCGGCGTCGACGTCGTCGTCGTCATGCTCGTCGTCGTCGTCGTCGTCACCGCCGTCCTCGTCGTCGTCGTCATCCCGCTCGTCGCCGTCGTCTTCGTCGTCGTCGTGTCCGTCGCCGTCGGCGTCGCAGTCGTCGTCGTCGTGCTCGTCGTCGTCGTTGTCGTTGTCGTCGTCGTCGTTGCCGCCGCCGCCGTCGTCGTCACCATCGTCGCAGTCGTGGCCGTCGTCGACGTCGTGCTCGTCGTCGTTGTCGTCGTCGTCGCCGTCGTCGTCGCCGTCGCCCTTGCCATCGTCGTCGTGGTCGTCGTCGCCGTCGTCGTCGCCGTCGTCGTCGTGACCGTCGTCGTGATCGTCGTCGTCGTCGCCGTCGTCGTAGTCATCGTCGCCGTCGTCGCCATCGTCGCCGTGGTCGTCGCCGTCGTCCTCGTCGTCGTCGTCGCCGCCGTCGTCGTCGCCGTCATGCTCGTCGTCGTCCTCGTCATCGTCGTCGTCGCCGTCGTCGTGTCGTCGTCGTCGCCGCCGTCGTCGCCGCCGTCGTCGTCGTCGTCGTCTTCCTCGTCGTCGTCGTCGTCCTCGTCGTCGCCGTCGTCGTCGTAGTCGCCACCGCCGTCGTGTCAATTGCCGTAGTCGTCGCCGTCATCGTCGCCGTCGTCGTCGTCGTCGTCCTCGTCGTCGTCTTCGTCTTCGCCGTCATCGTCGTCGTGGTCGTCGTGCTTGTCGTCGTCGTCGTCGCCGTCGTCGTCATTGTCGTCGCCGTCGTCAACGTCGTCGTCGCTGTCGTCGCCACCGTCGTCGTCGTCGAAGTCGTCGTCGTAGTCGTGCTCGTCGTCGTCGTCGCCGTCGTCGCCGTCGTCGCCGTCGTCGTCGTCCTGATTGTCGCCGCCGCCGCCGCCGCCGCCAGACGGCGCCGGCCCCGGCCCAGAGGAAAGGGGGGGGGTTCGAACCCCCCCTCCCCCCCTTGAGTCGTCGTCCTCGTCGACGCTCCGCGCCGCCGCCGACAGCCGCCGCCCGCGCCTGCGCTTGCCCAGGAGGGGAAGAGGGGCCGTCACTGGCGCCGGCGCAGTCCCCGGGGGGGGAGGGAAAGGGTGGGGTTCGAAACCCCCCTCCCTGGAGGGGGGGCGGAGGGGGGCGGTTCTAACCCCCCCCTTCCTTGAACCCAGGGGGGGGAGGGCGGTTCCAGACCCTGCCTCCCCCCCTCCAAGCGCCCACAGAAAACACTCTTTACGAGATATGGGCCTTCTGGAAGCTGGTAGGCAGTGCCATCCAAGCAATACTCGGAAGCCGGAAAACTACCGATACGGCCACTCCCTGAGCGTGCTCTTGCCAGGACTCCGAGGCGGATCCAGCCGCGGCGACGAGGGCCCCCAAAGGCGGAGGCCCCCGAGGGCGAAAGCGAGGGCCAGGGCTACGACAGCGGCGAGCTGCTCGCCGCCTCCCACCCTCCAGCCGCCGGGCGCGCCCGTGCACAGAAGAGCACCACCTATACGCCCACGCCGGCCCTGGCCAGCCCTATCAAGGGCCCAGGATCGGTGTATACAATCATCGGCCTGACGTAAGGAACGATAAATAAGGAACGAAGCCCCTTTTCTATCCCAAGGAATAACGCATAAGGAACGATAAATAACAAATAACGCATAAGGAACTGTAAATAACGCATGCAAACCTAAGGAACGACCGAGCCCCTCTTGAAAAGTAAGTGTTCCTTATTCAAGCCGCTCACTGTACGCCCGCCTGGCTTGAGGAGGGCGCACACACACACACACACAAGCACAAGCACCGATTCCGGGCCCAGGATCGACCCTGGCCAGGATCAGTACATGTGTGTACAGTCGGGGCGTTGACCTAAGGAACCCTAAATAAGGAACGAGGCCCCTTTACTCCATAAGTTAATCTTCGATTTCCCATCGAGCACATAAGGAAAACCTGAGGCAAGCTGTGAAACAATCAAGGAACACGGAGCCCCTCCCCAACGAAAAGGGTTCCTTCTTCAGGGCCCCGGCTGTAGTTGGCGCCCTCCGAGTGCCGCCGACGGGGAAGGGGCCCGGCGGGCCGCCAGCAGGGAGCCCAGAGAGGCACGAGTGCGCCTGCCCCCCAAGTCCGAATGGCCAGCCTCGCGCCACGAGCGCTCGCGCGAAGCACAGATGCGAAACCCACGAAGAGTCGTTTGCACGTGATGCCAAGACGAGGAGGAGGAGGAGGAGGAGGAAGACGAGGAGGAGGAGGAGGAGGAGGAGGAGGAAGACGAGGAGGAGGAGGAGGAGGAGGAGGAACTATAGGGACCGCTTTGGGCTCGGGAGGGGCTCCGGCCTTCGGGTCCCTCCGCAGATCCAGGCAGGGGGACCGAGTCGTGGCCGAGGCTCGCCGTGGCCAGGAAGAAAGCCCCCTCGTTGCGTGTTCAGCGCTCCTCCTGGGTAGCACGATGGCTGTACCCGCCGGTTGAGAGGAGCAGGTGCAAACATTTTTGTTAGGTGGAGACATGAAGTTACTAAGTAGGAGGGCGGATAAACCGGGTTCGGGCCAGCTCGCCCATGTATAACAAAACAAGGAGCAGGTGCAAACATGAAGTAGGAGGGCGGATAAACTGGGTTCGGGCCAGCCCGCCCAAGTATAACAAAACACTTCGAACCTCATATCGATGATTGAAGTAGGAAGGCGCTCGAAGTAGATCTGGATCTGGAAAGTCCAACCTACTTTCAACGATCGGCGTGTACGTCCAACCTACTTTAGGATCGGCGTGTAAGTCCAACCTACTTTAAACGATCGGCGTGAAGTAGGAAGGCGCTTGAGGTAGATCGGGATCTGGAACGTCCAACCTACTTTAAATGATCGGCGTGTACGTCCTTTTGTTCGCCCCCGCGCAAGGGGTGGCCCCCGAGCGCGGCGCATGCCGGGGAGCGGCGCGGGCCTGCTGGAACTGCACGGAGGCCACGCGCTGGGCGTGGGCGACGAGCGGCACCAGCTTCGCGTCCTGGCGGCTTGCGGCTACGACCACGACGGAGCTGCGGTGTCGGCCCCATGGGATCACGAGCGGCGACCATGTCCGTGTCGGCGCCCTCGAGGTCTGGACTCCGGGAAGCGATCCCGCGGATACGCAGTCCCACGGATGCGTCCCGCGCGGGGCAGCCGCGAAAGCCAGCCCTGTATCCGCGGGGTCGCGGCCCAGGGGCCCAGCCCGCGAGGCCGCGGATACGGATACAGTTTTCGCCCACGATGGGAGCGAGGTCCGATCCGCTGTTTCCACGATTCCTGCCCAAACCTCAGACGAGACGACTCTGGTTCAATCCCGTCGCTGCTGATCGACTTCGCCTCTGGGAACCGTCATCGGGCAAAGATGGACCTGGGATGATAAAAAACACTACTCCCGGGGAAGGATCGGGAGCTCTGTGGCCGCGGATTGCAGACGGCAGATCGGCGGATGTCGAGGTTCAGAGGCCGCACGCGGCGAGGGGGCCAGCCTCAGAGACTGCGAGACAGGAGGCTCGATTAACCGACGTTCTCTACAATATGTACACCCTGCGAAATGCTTAAGAAACCATGGGTTAAGAAATTCATAGTCTCAGAACTTGAACAAAAATCCAACATTTCCACTAAAATCTTAAGACTTACATTGAAACGTTCAAAATAATCGAGACTCTGGCCGAAAATGTAAGTTTTCTTAAGCATCGCCTAAGGTGTAGGGGACCAGCGGTACGCTGCCGGTTGCGGAGTGGGTCCGGCGACAGTGCCTCCCGTGGCCTCCCGTGGCCTCTCCCGCTGCCGCCCGTGGCCTCTCCCACGGCCACCCGTGACCTCCCGTTGCCGTCCCCATCCCCATCCCTGTCCCTGCTCCTCCTCCTCCTCCTCCTCCTCCTCCTCCTCCTCCTCCTCCTCCTCCTCCTCCTCCTCCTGCTCCTCCTCCTCCCCTCCCTCCCTATCCCTGTCCCTATCCCTGCGCGCCTGATCCCCATCCCTATCCTATATATTTCCTCCTGCCTGTCCCCATGTCATTGAGGCACCATTGCCTACATCCCTATCCCGATATCCCTGTGTAGCCCTATATATATATATATATATATATATATATATATCCCTATCCCTATCCCTATCCCTACCCTAGATCTATCCCGATCCCCCCATCGTGGCCCCCCATCGTGGCCCCCCACAGGGGGCCCTCATCACAACTGTGCAAAGCTGAAGGGGCCCCAGGACACACAAATAAATACACACAAATAAAAAGATTCCCCACATGCTCCTATATGTTCGGGGGTTTTGTCTTCCCCCCCACTTCCTATAGTTTCCCATATTTTCTGAGGAATCGAAGATAAATTGTGTCTTTGTGTTTTTCCTCTCCTGAAAAGCTATGTACAGTTTTCCGCCGCAGTGGTGCCATTAGCTTGTTGGTAGTGTCCTGCGTAGTCGCATCTCGTCACAGCATCTTGCGTCCACGACGAGGTCACAGGGCACATACATCCAAGTTGAGTATAGAGAAGAAGCTGAAGGGGCTGCTGGCCTACACGTACCATGCACGCATCGCCCCGCCGAAGTCACAGCAAGTCCCAGCAAGACATTATACGAATGATTGGCATCAGATCCGCACCAAGCTAACGCGCTGCAAATCGGTTGCTCGAGTTAGGTGTGGCAGTTTTCGGTGCGATGGCTGACAGGGGACGATTAGTGACAAACGGGGCGACCTCACTGGTTCCATCCATCCCTTCCTCCCCATCGCCCTCCTGTCCTCCTCACGCTCCCCCCCCTTAACAGCACCACCACCTCAAACCACTTCATCCCTTCCTACATCCTACTACCACCACAATCCACTTCCAGCTCCGATCACCCTTCCCTCCCCGCCCTTTCTCCCCTGCCTCGCACTAGCCCTCCCTCCTGGAGGAGGCGGGTGGGAACAAGGAAAGAGGGGTTACGGGGGAGTGAGGGGCGGCTGTGGTGCGAAGGAACGTGGGGGGCGGGTGGTGGCGGCAGTGGGGATAGGGGGATTTCGTGGTGGCGGCGGTGATGTTATGAGGGAAAGCAAGCGAAACGCACGACGCATGGCTCCCAGACCCATCCCCTCCCGATTCTTCCCCGCAAGAAGAGGCACGCCGGGCCCAAGATCTAGTCACGGACTCATGGCACGGGAATGCACGCCTGGCCCTGGGCACTTGGGTCCAGGATGGAGCCAACACTCGTGCCTGGGCCATGGCTCCAACGACTGGCTCAAGAACTTTAAATCACCAAGGGACATACCCGACGCATCTGGCACAAGGGACAACATCAACGGGCCAATCCAAACCGACCGAACACTGGAAGGGACACGCTATGCTCTCCTCGCGAAGGCTGCATGGGGAACACTCATACTGCGCGCCCCATGCGACTTACGTGAAGCGACGCCGAAGGAGAAGAGACTGAGGAGTCGACAGAAGGACGACGACGAGAGAAAGGCGAGTAGTAGAAGGGGGTTTGGAGAGGGTTTTATTTTTGACATGCACCGCTGAATGCACCAACCACCCACCAGTCTGCAGTGATCAGGGGGGCGTAAGACCCGGGTACAGGGGACTCGGAAATCCCCGACGAGGTCGTCAAAAAAATGACGAGGCCGAGCCTGCATTTTGACGAGGCCTCCCGCTGCAGACATCCCACGAAACTCCTCCTCGTCAAAATCCGAGGCGCGGTCGTCAAAAAACGATGGCGAACCCGGGTCCTGGCAAACCCGGGTCTTACGCTCCCCCGAAGTGAGTCAGGAGATGGTGTCAACGCTCCCGCTCCAGAGTCGTGAGACACGAAAGCCTGGAGCGGAGAGCGGGCGACGGGCGGGCAGCGGCCCCACACCAGCACGCTGAGGCCGAGACGGCACAGGAAGGAGAACCGTCCCAGCAACCCACGTGCACAGGGCAGCCATCGTGCCCGCCAGACTGTGCACCCGAGGCCGCTTCGGATGTCGGCCTCTCGACTAGGGGTTTAGGAGAGGAGGGGAAAGGATCACCAAGACGTGGCGATAACGGGCGTCGGGAGGAGACGGAGGATGGCACGGAGGGGGGAGGGGCAGAGCAGTGCAATCGACCTGCCGCACCAGGCGCGCGCAAATCAGACGCGCTCCAGGGCGGAGGCACGGCGTGCACGGCCCGCTCCCTCGCCTCCCCCCCTGGCACCGCGAACCCCCCCAATGGGCCCACGGGCGCCGCCCCCCCAGCGCCACCCTCCCTCCTGGGCAGGCCCGTCGGGCTGGGCGAACGGGGGGGATAGCCAAGGGGGGGTCTGAGAATCAGCTCACGTAGCGGAATTTCCCGGCGCCTCCCGGCGCCGAAGGCGGCCCTGCATCGAGGAATGGGCCCCTCGGCGGGGCCGAAACCAGCTACACGCAGCACATTTCGTACCCCCCCCTTTCCCGATCCCCCCTTTCGTCTGGCCCGAGCCTGGGCTGGACTGGATCGCGACGTCGCGCAACAAATCGGAAGCGCACCACATCGCCGGCACATCGTCCCGCACCAGATGCCCCGGCCGATGCCGCCGAATCGAACCGAAGCGAACTCGGGGATCTTCTGACCTGGGTCAATCCAGACCCGGGTCAGTCAGGCCTTGCAGAATCCTGCAAGATCCTGCAAGATCCTGCACCCAAACCCAGGCCGACGCGAAGGATCCTGCAAGATCCTGCAGGATCCTGCACCCGAACCCGGGTCCGTGCCACCCCGGCCCCGCAGGATTCTGCAAGATCGGGCGCTCTGGCTGACCCCCGCTTGCATGGGCCCCCGTCCCCAGACCCCCGACGTCATGATTTTTTCATGACGTTGACCCCCCGAGGTCTCGACCCATTCCCCGGGGCCGGTTTTTCGTCCTGAGTCGCTTTTTGACGGTCCCGAGGGCCGGTGAGGGCCCCCAGAGGCCGAAAAGAAGGAAAAACCGCCCGCCGTGCTTTTTTCACCACGCGAGGGGGTCGAGGTCTCGAGGCCCCCGACGAAGCGGATCCGCACCGCAGCCGGCGCCGCGAGCGGCACCTCGTCGCTCCGCCGGCGGCCCCGCCGGGCGCCCGCCCGCGGCGCGGCGGCGGCGCCGCGCGGCGGCGGCGCCGTGCGGGGCCCCGCGTGGGCCACCGCCCCGCCCTCGGAGGCCCGCCGGGGCTGCGGGGAGGGCCGTCGTCCGACGGCCGCCCCGCCCCACGGCGCGAGACCACCACGGCAGGAGGAGGGAGGGAGGGAGGGAGGGAGGGAGGGAGGAGGAGGAGGAGGAGGAGGAGGAGGAGGAGGAGGAGGAGGAGGAGGAGGAGAAAGAGGAGAAAGAGGAGGGAGGAGGAGGAGGAGGAGGAGGAGGAGGAGGAGGAGAGGAGGAGGGAGGAGGAAGAAGGAGGAGGAGGAGGAGGAGGAGGGAGAAAGAGGAGGAGGAGGAGGTTCTGGGCTCCAGGGCCTGGCAACACCCGAGGTGTCAGTGTACTTGGGAGGGTGTCAGCCAGGTCGAGCGGCTCGGATCTCAGGCGTATTCGCAGCGACTATTTTCTCAGACGCACCTCTCTCGTCTGCATACTGTAAACCACGGCAAGTAGAAGGCAGAAATAATGACCGACCTGGCACGGGAGGAAGAGATTCGCCAGGAGACAAGCTAGAGTTTTCCCACGACTTGCAGCAGCCAGAAAGCTCCTTTTGTGACATCACTCAGCTCACAGTATGTGTCCAACCTGGAAGGTCATCGACCCGACCGAGCGCAAGCCACCCGCCTTCACTCAGCCCGAGGACAGGAGGGCGCAAGCTTTTCCACATTGACAACAGATTGGTAATTCTGGCATCGTACCTAAAGTGAAGCCTGCACCCATGACTGCACCAAGATGGACAACGTACCCAATGGCAGCCCAGCAGCCGATTGACCTCACGTACAGCCCGCGCGCCCGCACCGTGCCGCCGATCTACGATCCAACCGCGCCGAAGAAGGAACGACCTAACCTGGACGGCGGGATGCATCACTACCAGAGCATGCCATGACACTACCGTGCCCATGGAGGGCCTACCCTGA